AAAAAAAAAAAAAAAAACAATGCATAGCAACAAGCCCCCTGTCTCCCCCGGACGTCATCGGAGATACCCCTGTGACTGCCTCAGGCACCCCCTTCCCACCTGTGCCTTTATTCCAGAAGTCTCCATCACCCTTCATTAGACAGTTATCACTCCCTTACACTTTAATGGTTTTGTCACATTGGTATGCATCTCTAAACGATATATACTTTTTTAGTTTTGCTTGCTTCAGAACTTTATAAAATGAATTCATACCACATATCGTGTTCTGTGACTTGCTTTCCTCACTCAGCATTATCTCTAAGATTCGCCCATAGGGTTGCAGGTTAATTATATTTTATCTATTTTTGCCACCACGCGCTATTCTGTGGTGGGAACACATCACAATTTATTTATCCATTTTTCCTGATCTCGGGCACTGGGTTGGTTTTGGTTTTTTGCTCTGATGAACAGAGCTGTTGTGAGTGGTCCTGGGGAAGCTGGGCCTGCTCTCACTGCCCGGCCACCCCTGCCCCGTCTGTGTGGCCTGTCTCTGAGCACCAGGTGGGTTCTGGTGGTCTACTGTCCAGCCCTGGGCCCATAGGGCATTGCCTCAATCGCGTTAGCTCTACAGTAAGTCTTGATATCAGATAAAGTAAGTTCTTCTTACACCGGAATAATCCTGTCACGTTCTAAAGGGAAAAATACACAATGACCATTTGATTATGCCATGTAGCCAACAACTGATAGCTTTTCAATACTGAGTTTTCCAAAGTGTCCACGTGGGGTCACCCTCCAGGTATATAATATTTACGTGATTTTAATGTCACCCTGTATTTAGATTTTTTAAAAAATTGTGGTAAAAGACACACATAAAATTTACCACCTAAATCATTTTTGTGTGGGTTTTTTTTTTGACTTTTTGTTAATTTAAAAATTCTTTTTCCTGTTTCAATAAGCTGGTCTCACCTTAACCATTTTTTTTTTTGAGACAGAGTCTCACTCTGTTGCCCGGGCTAGAGTGAGTGCCATGGTGTCAGCCTAGCTCACAGCAACCTCAAACTCCTGGGCTCAAGCGATCCTACTGCCTCAGCCTCCCGAGTAGCTGGGACTACAAGCATGTGCCACCATGCCCAGCTAATTTTTTCTATACATATATTTTTAGTTGTCCAGATCATTTCTTTCTATTTTTTAGTAGAGACGGGGTCTCGCTCTTGGTCAGGCTGGTCTCGAACTCCTGACCTTGAGCTATCCACCCGCCTTGGCCTCCCGGAGTGCTAGGATTACAGGTATGAGCCACCGTGCCCGGCCTCACCTTAACCATTTTAAAATGTGTAGTTCTGTAGTATTTAGTATATTCACACTGCTGTGCAACCATTGCCACCAGATATTTAGGCATTTTTAAAAAATAGTTTTTCTTGTAAAGTTCTTTCCTATCTTTTGTTAGATTTTCTTCCTTTGGTGCATCATGGTTTTTTGTTTGTTTTGTTTGTTTGTTTGTTTTTGAGACAGGGTCTTGCTGTGTTGCCCAGGCTGGAGTGCAGCGGCACAATCGTAGCTCACCATAATCCCAAATGCCTGGGCTCAAGTGATCCTCCTGCCTTAGCTTCCAGGCAGCTAGTCCTCCACGCCCAGCTAAATTTCATCATTTTTAAAAAAAACTTTTTGTGACAGATAATACATAAAATGTAAATGTACAGCTTAATATGTATTATAAAAGAAATACCCTTGCACCTACCACCCGGGCAAGCAACAGCATGTCGCTAGCCCCCAGAACCACGGTTCCCTTCCCAACCAAGTCCTCCTCCCCTTAAAGGCAAATAAGTTCTTTGCATTCAAGAAACTTCTAAGTTTCTTGTAGCCCGCGCATATTGAACATTTTACTCTATACCTGGTAGTCTTCTACCAAAAATGAGAAACCAAATACGTCAGTGGACATGTTGGTGGGAGGTTAACAGAGAATTCCGGAATGACAAAACAAACCCACAGCTTTGGGGAGGAGAATGGAGAAGAAAGACCAAATACCAAATTCTCAGAAATACTCCCAACAGTGAGAAAAGAACAGTCAGAAGTTGGATATTGCCACATCCAGGAAACGGCATGGAGAAAATTAGGAAATTTAGGAACGGTGGTTCCTTGTTCTAATTCTGCCTGACTCATCTTGCAAATTCCAGCATATCCATTTACCACTCATTTTGCCTCCTCTGTGCAGCTACCCTACTCTAATCTAACCCAGGTGGAACAATGCACGTCGTAGACTGTAAAGCGCTATATAAATGGAAAAGAATAAACATTAATATGTTTTAAAGTCCCTCCGAACACTGCTGGGCTCCTCTGTCTTCCGGGCACCTTCTTTCCTGAAGCTCAACTCACCCATCCCCCCACCGGCTGGGGTCCGCAGAGCGGGTGGCAGAGCAGCGGGGACGGTGCTTCCTTGGGGGCAGAACCAACAGCTTCACTGCTCTCCAGGAGCCCACAGTGGAGGTGGGGAGGCAAGACCAGCAGACATGCATAGGGAACTGGGGTGAGCACCGTCACCGCGCGTGGGGTGGGGCAACTAGAATCAGTCTGACCAGTTGGTGTTTGACTTGAGTCTTCCAAGCAGTTGGAATAACACTTCGCGGCATTTTACATCTGCCCTGACTTCAGTTACCAGGAGGCCCCTGCGATCCGGGGTCTTGCATGCCAGGACACTCCCGAGCGTCGGGGGTTTGCGTCCTCCTCCTGTGTGCCTTAGCACCGTCCCACGCGTGCACAAGGGTCTTACCGTGTGCAATGACCCGGACATGCGGCCATTCTCAACCTTGACTGCGCCTTAGAATCCCCAGGGGCGCTGTTAACAATCGGGGACCCAGGCTGCACCCTAGACCAGTGAAATCAGAATCTCTGGGGGCGTTGCCCTCAAATCAGGACTTCTGCTGAGTCTCACACGCAGCTGAGGTAGAGAACCACTGAGTTAGAGTCCGCCTCAAATGTGCGCATGAATAGTCTCGGGGGGCACGGGGAGGTTGACAAAGTGCAGATTTTGATTCGGTGGGTCTGGTTTTAGGTCCCGGGGCTCTGCTTTTATAACACGTTTGCAGAGGATGCTGGTACCTGGGCCACACCTGCTCAAAGGAGCGGGAACACAGGCTAAGCTCCCTCGGGACAGGGATTGTGGTTCTTGTGCCCTCTGGTGGCCAAAACCTCCCTAGCAGCGCTCTGCAGAGAAGCACTGATGTTGGAAGCAAGCCCTCACTAATAGGTATAATTTCTGGAGTATTTACAGATGTGTCCCTCAGAGCCCAGCCGGTGGACGCCTGGATTTCAGCCTTGTACGAACCTGAGCAGAGCCCAGCCAAGCCTGCTCAGACTCCTGACCCACAAAGCTTTAAAGATAATCCATGAGTGTGGTTTTAAGCTGCTAAATTTATGGCAATTTGTTGTGAAGCGACAGAACAGAATAGGCCTTACAGTAACAGGTGAGAATCCCAAACCCACAGGCTTGACCCAGCCACTCTGCACCACGTGTCTACACTAGCTCAGGCAGCCAGGTCCGTTCCCAACCTCCTGCTCCGCTGGGAGAGGAGACAGAACGGATTGTACTTCTCTTGCATCAAGATTTCACTCGCTGCCTCATTCTTCACGACTGCTTACTTTTCACCTTAGACGTCTGCTGTCACTGCCCCCGGTGAAAGCTCAGGGCTGGCATGGTGGTGGGGGCTGTGTGCTGTCTGTGGCAGATTGTATTTTCCCAAGATGGGCGCTCCAACGTATCACATCCCACA